ACACATATATGTATATATACTGTATATGCAGAGAGAGCGAGAAATGCTCATCTTTGTTTTTCATACTTAATTTTTAGATTTTTAGATTGCTATCTTACCATCTTACACCTATTAATTTTTTTAAAGGATTATATTATTATATATTATATATAATATGACTATGTATCTGTTCACGTTTAATACAATAATAATATACAATTGTATACTGTATAATATTATAGACATTCTTTGATTGTTTACTTTGTCATCTAATACTCACTTAAAGTTAATATTTAAAAAGACAAAAATATTAATAGCACTGTTAATAGCACAAGTGATTTTCACAAAATGTTTATTCGTACCTACATTTTTGTACACCGTAGTGTATGCATTTATTTAATAGAATTTATATACATTCTGTTTTTAGTATTTGGTTTATTTCTTTATCATTTTTCATCTATACATTGAAAGTAATAATTTTTTATTTTTTTATTATTATGTCGGCCAGAAATGTAATACTGTGTATCCTTATTTGATGTCAGTGACTGAAAACACTGTTGGGTTTTGCATCGTAACGATTGCGACATGCCAGGTTTTAGCTGGACACGACGGGTGCAGGGAAGGGAAAAGAAAAATTGTTCAGTGAAGCTCTAAACACAAAGAGAACAGAAAACAGCAAGCAAACTTGTGTATAATGACAGAGGTAAAGAGGGTCACCGTGTGTAAATGAGATTGGCTTTACTATTATGCATGAAATATTTGATCTACTCAGTGTGCTCGCACCTTCCTACTCTCTGCTTTCTCTGGTGGGCTCTGTTTTGTATCTCTTTGTTGGCGTTTTGCATCCTAACAAGATTCCATGATCCCTTTGTGCCATTATGCTAATTTGTTATAGGCCATGTGTTGCATATTAATGAGCTGGAAGCTGATATGACCTCAAAAAGCATTAAGCTCTGAACCAGCGGCCCGTTCCCCTCACACACCCCGAATGAGAGTGATTTCTCAGCGGGAGGATGTATCTCTTGAGGGAAGTAAGGTACAGAGGTCTGTCTCCTCTGAGACACCAGCTGCTGGAGGAACCGCACAGCCTGTGCTATTTAGAGCAAGTGAATTATGCTGTGTGTGTTTAATAACAGAGCTGAACCACAGTGTGTGTGTTGTATTGTGTTTGTGTGTGCATTTTTTTAGTCTAGGCATTCAATATCTCCAATAATCACCCCATGCCCTGCCCACAGCTGTAAAGAGTGTCTCTGATTGGCTCCTAACTCTCCGCTCTCCCAGTTGTGCCATAATCAATCAATGAATGATTGATCTTCTACTTATTATCTCCAACATCTTCAACAGGCTTCATCAATCATCACCGATCAATAACAACAGAATCACTCATGTTAATGTAATCTTTTTCTCGCAAGTCTTGATTTTTGCTGTTAAAATGTAATTTTATACTTTTTAAGTATCTTGTGACTTTAGGTGCTATTTTAATTTATGTTCATTTAAACATTTAAGTAGCCTGTGATGCTTATTTATTTATTTATTTATTTATTTTATTATTATTATTATTATTATTATTATTATTTTAAATTAACTTTATTTTTCAAGTAGTTTGAGCTTGGCATGATATTTTAATTTAATTTAATTGAAATATTTATTTGAAGTAGCTTGTGACTAAGTATTTTATATTGTATTTATATTATTTATTTATTTTTAATTCCTTTTAAGTATGTGGCTTGGCGTGCTATTTTAATTTAATATTATTTAAATATTTAAGTAGCTTGTGATTTATTTTTATTTTATTTCATTTTACTTTTACTTTACTATTTAATTTAATTTTATTTAAATTAATTTAATTAATTTTATTTAATTTTATTTATTTTAATTTAATTTATTTTATTTTATTTAATTTTATTTATTTTTAATTTATTTTAATTTTAATTTATTTTATGAAAATTAGCTCCCCTATGCAAGTTTGAATTATGGGTAGGGTTTGACTGAACAATATTAATATATTTAAATACCTGATTTAACATTTTAATAATACTTCAAAATAACACTGTATTAAAGAGACTTATTTCATTTTTTTAAAATGAATTAATAATAAAAAAAAAAACGGATTCCAAATTTTGAACAGTGTTTTTTAGTACTGAATAAAATATTAATCTTGACTCTTGACTGAGCTTGCAGTGCACTGTGGAGTCTGTTTTAATTATTTTCATTAATTATAAATTATTATTTTAAATTGTTTTCATTACACTCGTGCCTTAAAAGATGTTTTATTATTATTTTGCTGTCTACCACTTGGAACCATTGAATATGAGTCTAAAATCCCAAGTATGCAGCTCAGGACTTTGCAATTTTGCCTGCATACATATAATTAACATGGTTAGACAGAGGAACGCTGATTTGAATTGGATTTGTTGTGTTTGAGGAAGTTAACTTGGCATTACCGGCTGCCACTGACTCAGATAAAAACTTTATGAGCCTTATTGATGCTTTCCTGAAGCGTTTGACAATATGCGTTACCATTCATACGAGTGAGTCTGTGTTTTCTCGATCAGCCGGTGGTGAGTTATTGACGGCCACGGAGGAGAGTGTCACGTTATCGCAGAATTATACATCATGTTATGAATCCATCAGCGGGAGGCTTGAGTGCTTGTCATCTGCTTCTCCTCATCTATCTGAAAGAGAGCGAGGCTTTCTTACTTCATCTTCTCTTTCTTCCTCTTGAAATATAGAGAAACGTCAAAGGAGAAGAGTGTATGATTAACTCCAGAGAGATGGAGATGTTAGGGACGCAGAGAGTGAGAGGAGAGTGGAAATGACAGTTGGCTTCCGGTGCGTAGCGTCGGATTGTATTTTGTGGAAAGAGTGGATATTCTTCATCTTTTCTCTCTCCTGTGACATCAGGCGTTACTTACAACCATCCCTGTGTGTGTGTGTCTGTGTGTGTGTGTGTGTGTGTCTGTGTGTATGTGTATGTGTGTATGTACAGTGGGGCAAAAAAGTATTTAGTCAGCCACCAATTGTGCAATTTTGAGTGAACACCTCCTTCCATCAGCAAGGGCATTGAAGATGAAACGTGGCTGGGTTTTTCAGCATGACAATGATCCCAAACACACCGCCCGGGCAACGAAGTAGTGGCTTCGTAAGAAGCATTTCAAGGTCCTGGAGTGGCCTAGCCGGTCTCCAGATCTCAACCCCATAGAACATCTTTGGAGGGAGTTGAAAATCCGTGTTGCCCAGCGGCAGCCCCAAAACATTACTGCTCTAGAGGAGATCTGCATGGAGGAATGGGCCAAAATACCAGCAACAGTGTGTGAAAACCTTGTGAAGACTTACAGAAAACGTTTGACCTCTGTCATTGCCAACAAAGGGTATATAACAAAGTATTGAGGTGAAATTGTTATTGACCTTATTTTCCACCATAATTTGCAAATACATTTTTAAAAAATCCTACAATGTGATTTTCTGGATTTTTTTTCCCCCCTCATTTTGTCTCTCATAGTTGAGGTATACCTATGATGAAAATTACAGGCCTCTCTCATCTTTTTAAGTGGGAGAACTTGCACAATTGGTGGCTGACTAAATACTTTTTTTTCCCCCACTGTCTGTGTCTGTGTGTGTGTGTGTGTGTGGTGGACCCAGAGGGAAGGGTAGAAGGAGAATGGCTGTTGGTTGGTTTAGGAGTTGGATGTAGATCTGTTTACACTGATGTGGTTTGACTTCAGAAACTTGTTGTGGTACTTTAACGATGTCATAGTGCAGGAAGCCCCCACAGCGCAGCAGAACTGAAGTGAATGTCATCGTACTGACATGTGCAGTTTACTTTTCAGAGCCATTACTCGTGTGTGCAAAAAGGAGCATAAAACAATATTGCAGACTGAATACAAATTGGTTACTCAATGGAAAGGGTGCTTTTGAGGTACCATTGGTTTTCAGTTTGATAAAGTGATTAAAGAAAGTCTTTGGATGATATTAAATATAATATTCACTGAGATCTGATTCTTCATATGAGCTGTACCTCTTGGGAAGAGAATTTGATGCTAATATTTGTAGTATCTATCTACTCTTAAGTGATCATATTTCAGAATATTTATTTATTTAAAATTATGGAATAGTTCATTATTTTAAAGGGAAAAAAAAGCTTTGACATTGTGCATTTAGCTATTATGGCAAGGCGAAATTGGAAACAAGAAGAAAGACCAAAAATCTTAATGAAATGAAGAAACTTATTTAGTTAGAATAAGTAAATAAATACATGCATACACTTTTTCACTGACATTGACATGAGGACAGACCAAAAACATATGTTCGTTAAATAAGAGAGAGAGAGAGCGAGAGAGAACAGCTAAAAATGAAAATATAATTTTTATTTTGTAAAAAAAAAAAACTGACATTTTGTGTGAATCCCTTGAATGTTCTATGATGTTAAATTCCATGAGAAAAAAAACAGAACAACGTTACTAAATAATACATTTTATTTTATTTTATTTTGTGCTGTTGAAAAACTTCTGTAAAACTTCTTTTTTTTATTTTTTATTTTTTACGCACATACTGTAGGTATGAGGGACACAAATGTCACCTGTTTTGTTGAATTTTGTGTTTTGATGGTTTGTTATCTTTGATGTTCATTGATGTTAAAGTCAGGTATCAATCCAGGTTCTCTATCGCTTTCAACCATCTTATCAGTGTTTGGTGGAGTGTGTGTATGTGGATTATTCTCCCGGCTGGTCAAAGATATCTCCCTTGATAAGGTCAGACAAGAGCTGACCACTTTAAGGACACAGACAACTTATCCTCTATCCATCTTCAGAAACACAGGGCCACTGTGGTGCAAAAGTGGCACTGCAGAGAGTTTGAATTCTAGAGCAATGCTTTTCATTCCTGCCCTCTATTGTGCATTCCTCCCTTATCTGAAACACCCAGTTCAGTTTTTCTCTGTTAAGATACCACAGTTCTAAATGAATACCTGCAACATACATTTTCATGATTCCTCATAAAACTTTGTTTTGTGTGCTTTTCAGAAACATTAATGGATACCCGGACCGCCACAGCAGAGCTCGGGTGGACGGCGTACCCTTCGTCAGGGGTGAGTGTGTGTGTGTGTGTGAGTGTGTTTGCATCAATACATGACCTGCAGAACTGCTCACACTGTGTTAAAACACTTACGGTGTGTCTTTGATTTCTAGAAAAGCACTTTAAACCGAAACCTCCTTCTATTCACCCTTCAGCAACAGCTTACTAGAGAAAGAGAGACTAAATGCTTTCAGATTAGCTCTGAAATATGCCGTAAAATATGTTTGTACTACAGGTGCCGTGTCTGAATGCTGAAATGAAGAGATCAACGTCACACACAAGCACACACTTCTTTATCTCCCTACCAAAAGGCACAAAGCAAAAACCTTGTCGCAATCGGCATGCGCATTTCACTCTGCAGTTCACATTTAGAAGGACTTAATGACATAATGGGTCCACTTAAAGGAAAAAAGCACCTCTGAATTGGTCTAAATGTGGTCCGGGCTACTGTAATGACAGCCACAGCACTGCTCAACCTGCAGAGAAATATAAAGCTTTCCTTGAACTCTCAATAAGTGTTTTTCTCATTGAGCTTCTGTAGAAAGTGATACACGGGTGCTTGTTCGTTCTGTTGCTGTTGTCAAATAGAAACGTCTGTTAGCCCGATAGCACAGCGACTTGGTGATTTTATCAGTGTGAGCAAGTTTAATTTTTTCCTAATCAGTATAACCTGTGTTGCCCAACCCACACTGAAATCTCATTGGACTAAAATCATTTCAGTTCATGTTACTATGCAACATCAAAATACATTCGGATGGTCTGTGATTGTTGCTTCATGGAACTTTTTGTAACTTGCTTAATCAGGTGTAAATTAGCCATTAATTTATTCTTATTCAATTGTAAATTACATTGTAAATTAAAATTAATTAAGCAAATAAAAAATGTAGATGTAAATTAAAATAAATTTACGTACATTAAAACTTAAATTGTATATTAAAAATAAATGTAAATTCTGAAAGTTAATTGTTTAAAGATGGTCTAAAAATGTAATTTAATTTGATTTTACTAACTATTAACAATAACTGGCGTGAGCTATGTTATATAGGCAGAAAATGTTTCTATGATATCCCAGAAGTCTCTCTCTCTCTCTCTCTCTCTCTCTCTCTCTCTCTCTCTGTCTGTCCATTCGACCAGCTGTGCTTTAAAATTAATAATAAAAGTACCATCCACAGATGGTCAGCGGAGGCCACACACGCACACCCACGCGGGCGTATGACACACGCGTCTGACAGTGATGGACAGGAAATGTAGTGAGAGGAAATCCATTAGCTCATGCTACAGACAGCCATATTCCTCCCTCTAATTAGTGTGGTTTGCTGAGGCAAGCATTACCAGTACTACTGCTCAAGCTGAAGGATTTCAACAAACACCAAGTATCAAACTTTGTCACTTCGTGGTGGAATGTTTTTCATGGACAAGCACCACTCACACCTAGTATAGATACTGTACAATTTTACGATTTATGTTAATATTTTTAATTAATATTATTTTTGTCCATTTGTGGTGTCTTTCATGGACAAGCACAGTTTAAATAAATTAAGTAAGTAAATAAATAAATTTGATTTCATTTATTTATTTAATTTTATATATTTTATATATTCAATTTTTTCTATTAACTTTGTTGCTTTGTGGTGATGTTTTTCATGGATAATGACTACTCACATTTATTTATTTGTTTACATACATTACATTTTATTTGTTTATTTTTTCCATTAACTTTATCACTTCGTGGTGGCATTTTTGTCATGGATAAACACCACTCACATTTATTACAGTTAATATATATTATTATACTAATTTTATTTATTTATTTATATTAACTTTGTCACTTCGTGGTGGCATATTTTCAATGGATAAACACTACTCACATGTATTTATTTAAAAATATTTTATTAAATTAAATTTTATTTGTTTATTTTTTTTCTAGTAAGTTTTTCACTTTGTGGTGGCATGTTTTTCATGGATAAGCACCACTCACATTTATTTAAGATAATAAATAGTTATTATACTAATTTTATTTATTTATTTACTTACTTGCTCATTCGTTCGTTCGTTCATTCATTCATTTGTTCATTGTATATTATAGTTATTTTTTGGTATCAGTTTTTTTTTCCTCTCTATTGTATACTGTGAGATATTTTGTTTTGCTGAATGGAGCGGTTTTGTATCTCTCCATTTCTTTTGCATTTTCTTACTTTTCTTCTCACTTCATTCTCTCTTTTGGGTCACATGTGGAGGTTTAACCCTGCTCGTCCTTCACACGCACTATTGACTGCGTTCACGATTCATTCACACCATTTGGCGAATTCTCACAGCTGCCCCCTCCAGCGCACCCACATCCGTCTTTCTCTAATACGTCTAGCTTTCCGTTAGCCCCCCTCTCCTTTTCTCCTAAAGAAATCCCTAAAATCCCCAAATCCTCGCAGACCTCATCCGGCCACTCCTACTAAAAAGGCTCAAGCACGCATCTTGAGCTCGAATGGCCGATTGTTCCCCTCTGTCTCTGCGATTACCTTTCACGCCTGCTCGCCCCGTCCCTCACCCAGAGGTCAGAGGTCGGCTGCTTCTTCAGCAACCCATATTTAATTCATCATCCCAGTCTGTGTATGTGTGCGCGTGTAATGCTCTCTGGAGACTTAGAGATGTGCTCTTGATTATACGAAGTATGTGCTATGCCATGATTCCCCTTTCTGCTGTCACAGCAGTCGTACTTTAGCATGTGTGAACGTATTGATCGTGTGGGCTCTGGGTGATTTGGAAGGGAAAGCAGACACTCGGTCCATATGAATCTGAATTAATTATCAGGGCTGTGTCATGTGAGAGACTCTTAATTGTCACTTTGATTCAGCCTGCTTTTTTGCACCATAATGCAACAAGAGCAGTACCACTGGGTGTTTATGACAGCCGCATGCAAACATGTTAAACAAATTTAGCCGAGTGTGTTTGTATCCTTAACCTACAAACCTAAAAAACTCCCCAAGATGTCTTACTAGAGCGTCATCATTACTTTAGCTTAAAAACACTACAAACTTTTAGCAAAAACCTCAGAAAGGAGCTTAACCCTCTGGTGCATATTTTTTATTTTTTTTTATTTTATTATTTTCTCTTAATTTGATGAAATGAATATACTGTATTTTAGTTGTATTTAATATTGTGCAATTTTAGGGGATTTTTTTTTTATCATTCTTAATTCTATTTATGCAGTAGTTATAATCAATTTATTACCTGTTAATCAGCATAGACCTGAAAATGAAATTTCCAACTTAATCTGATGTAAATCTTAAATGCGTTGGAGCACAGACTTAAGTCTCTTTTTAAAGAAGACACTTGACAAATTATTGCTGAATTGGGGAAAAAAAAGGAAACGCAAAAAAGTTTATGAAAAATGCACAAAAATACTGTTTTCAAATTTTTATGAAATGCATATTTTTCAAAACATGTTACTCTAAAACTGCAAGAAAATCAAAGCCATAAATCTAAACAAGCTGTGTACCAAATTTGATGTTGATATAAAAAAAAAAAAAGAGCTTTCAGTAAGATTTTGTTGTCACTGTGGGTGCAGGGGCAAACGTCTTCACTAGATGAAATTTGCTTTCCATTTGTTTCCAATGCGGTCATTTTTGACCACGAGGAGTACCAGTTTATCAGACTGTTTTTTTTTCTTTACTCTTAGCTCTACTGTTTTTTCATCCATTGAACACAAATAGACAATGTTTTTAATTCTACTTTTTGGCCATTTTTGGAGCTTGACAGCGTCCATGCTTTCATTGAATGAAAAATGTTTTTGTCTCTGTGCCTCACGATTCCCTTCAGTGGTTTCTCTGGATGTACCAATTGAGATGTAGTATAAAAAGTCTGTGTGTGTGTGTGTGTGTGTGTGTGAGGTAGATTAAAAAAGGCCTTAATTGAAGTCTACCCAGTCTTTTTGCTCTTCTGTTCTTTTGAAAGCAATTTAGCCCTCCATCCTTCTCTCTGACAAGCTTCCCTCTTTATTCATCTTTCATTTTACCCTCTCTTTAGCCCCCCTCTCCTTTTCTCTTAAAGAAATCCCTAAAATCCCCAATTCCTCGCAGACCTCAGCTGGCCACTCCTGCTAAAAAGGCTCACGCACGCATCTTGAGCTCGAATGGCCGATTGTTCCCCTCTGTCTCTGCGATTACCTTTCACGCCTGCTCGCCCCGTCCCTCACCCAGAGGTCAGAGGTCGGCTGCTTCTTCAGCAACCCATATTTAATTCATCATCCCAGTCTGTGTATGTGTGCGCGTGTAATGCTCTCTGGAGACTTAGAGATGTGCTCTTGATTATACGAAGTATGTGCTATGCCATGATTCCCCTTTCTGCTGTCACAGCAGTCGTACTTTAGCATGTGTGAACGTATTGATCGTGTGGGCTCTGGGTGATTTGGAAGGGAAAGCAGACACTCGGTCCATATGAATCTGAATTAATTATCAGGGCTGTGTCATGTGAGAGACTCTTAATTGTCACTTTGATTCAGCCTGCTTTTTTGCACCATAATGCAACAAGAGCAGTACCACTGGGTGTTTATGACAGCCGCATGCAAACATGTTAAACAAATTTAGCCGAGTGTGTTTGTATCCTTAACCTACAAACCTAAAAAACTCCCCAAGATGTCTTACTAGAGCGTCATCATTACTTTAGCTTAAAAACACTACAAACTTTTAGCAAAAACCTCAGAAAGGAGCTTAACCCTCTGGTGCATATTTTTTATTTTTTTTTATTTTATTATTTTCTCTTAATTTGATGAAATGAATATACTGTATTTTAGTTGTATTTAATATTGTGCAATTTTAGGGGATTTTTTTTTTATCATTCTTAATTCTATTTATGCAGTAGTTATAATCAATTTATTACCTGTTAATCAGCATAGACCTGAAAATGAAATTTCCAACTTAATCTGATGTAAATCTTAAATGCGTTGGAGCACAGACTTAAGTCTCTTTTTAAAGAAGACACTTGACAAATTATTGCTGAATTGGGGAAAAAAAAGGAAAC